CAGCTGCCTGCTGCCCATCCTGTCGGGCCAGTGGCCCGAGGAAGCCAGCGAGCCCGGCGGTGGTCAGCTGCGGTCACTCTCTTCCAGGACCGGGGCGCTCCCTGCAGCCTCTACCAGGACGCCTGTTCCGGCCACACTCAGCGCGCCCTCCCCGCCAGCGCCCCCTGTGGCGCCTGCTGGTAAGTCCAGGTCATTGAGTGTTGGTGCCGGGGCCAAACAGCCACCACCCGGAAGCACGGACATGGAGGAGTGAGGGTCTCGCCCAGCCTCCCCGTCACAGCTCCGCCCCTTCCCCAGGCTGTGGGAGACAGAGCCCAGGCACTTCCTGGGACTCAAACCCACACGGTCACCTGCAGGCCAGTCACCTGCCAGCACCCGGTCCTAGCTGCCGGCAGGCGTCCCGGCTTTGCTCTCGGCTCCAGCTGGGGGCCCTCCCTCGGCCAGTGCTCCCCGGGGCTGGGTTTTAAGTAAAGAATTGCTGTTTCCTTTTCTGCTCAGTAAGGCCAAGAGCCGCCACTTACAAACCAGGGTGGCGGGCCTGTGAGGTCGAGCCAGGCGGGGCCGCCATGCGAGGTGGCAGCTGGGAATTGCTCCGTGCTGTCCTGGGGATCCTCCCACCTCGTCCTGCAACGGGCAGCTCATCTCCACCTGCTGGAGGGAGGATGAGCCCGGGTGGGTGGAGATCTGAGACCCGCCGCTGAAGCCTGCAGCTCGGGCTGTGGGAAGGCGCCAGCAGGTGCTGTCACCGGCAGCCTTTCCCGCTGGCCCGCTGCGTCCTCGTCCTCGGGTGGGAAAGACGGAGTGAGAGGAGGTGGGCAGGCGGGCAGGCCGCGCCGTGCTCCCAATCAGGGATCTAGGAAAGGAAGCAGCCGTTGGGGCTCCGAGGTGTCCTCGAGGTATGAGGTGGTGTGAGGGTCGGTGCACAGCGCAGCGATCGCCTGCAGCGTTTTTCTGAACCGAAGGTGTCGGGAGAACGGCGGGCGGGAGGGCCCCGCCCGGCGCTGACTGCTTCTGGCCTGTGTTTCAGGTCAGGAAGACGGTGAAGTGAGCGGCGGGGACGCCATGGAGGGCCCAGCCCCGCAGCCCTGCCCTGGTGAGTGGGAGGCCACGGCAGCAGCAGCCACGGGGGCAGGGAAGGAGGCGCCCTCGGCCCAACACCCCTTCCCTGCAGGGGGTGCGGGGAGGGGAGCTGAGGACAAGCTGAGTTTGCGCACAGCTCGCCCGGAATCCCTCATCGGAAATTGCCACCTCGTCGCCTTTTGCAGCCTTGTCCGGGCTCTCGAACTCCGATATTCTCTCCAAACCCCATTTGTAAAGCTCCGCACACAGTCCTGGGACCCCGCCACAGCCCCTGCACTGGGGCGCCGGGCTCCCGGCCCAGCAGACCCCGTGGCGTGCTGTCACCGGCAGCCTTTCCCGCTGGCCCGCTGCGTCCTCGTCCTCGGGTGGGAAAGACGGAGTGAGAGGAGGTGGGCAGGCGGGCAGGCCGCGCCGTGCTCCCAATCAGGGATCTAGGAAAGGAAGCAGCCGTTGGGGCTCCGAGGTGTCGTCGAGGTATGAGGTGGTGTGAGGGTCGGTGCACAGCGCAGCGATCGCCTGCAGCGTTTTTCTGAACCGAAGGTGTCGGGAGAACGGCGGGCGGGAGGGCCCCGCCCGGCGCTGACTGCTTCTGGCCTGTGTTTCAGGTCAGGAAGACGGTGAAGTGAGCGGCGGGGACGCCATGGAGGGCCCAGCCCCGCAGCCCTGCCCTGGTGAGTGGGAGGCCACGGCAGCAGCAGCCACGGGGGCAGGGAAGGAGGCGCCCTCGGCCCAACACCCCTTCCCTGCAGGGGGTGCGGGGAGGGGAGCTGAGGACAAGCTGAGTTTGCGCACAGCTCGCCCGGAATCCCTCATCGGAAATTGCCACCTCGTCGCCTTTTGCAGCCTTGTCCGGGCTCTCGAACTCCGATATTCTCTCCAAACCCCATTTGTAAAGCTCCGCACACAGTCCTGGGACCCCGCCACAGCCCCTGCACTGGGGCGCCGGGCTCCCGGCCCAGCAGACCCCGTGGCGGCCTGGTCCTGTGATGGGGCTGCCATGTGCGCACCCGCCTCCCAGCAGCCTCGCCTCCACCACACACGGCAGCGCAGGCGCGTCCCGAGTGCAGCTGCTCCCCAGAGCCAGTCTGCGTGCCGGTCCGTGAGCCCCGGCTCCTCTGGTTGCCAGTGTTTTTAAGGGAAAAGGCCTGAGTGGTCTTTTCGTTTTGTTAGTCCTCGCCCGAGGGTGTCTTTCCATTGGTTTTTAGGGAGAGTGGAAGAGAGAGGGAAAGACAGAGAAACATCGATGTGAGAGAGACACAGCGAAGGGTTGCCTCCTGCACAAGCTTGGCCAGGGCCTGGGCCAGGGAGGAGCCTGCAACCAAGGTTGTGCCCTTGACCGGAATCGAGCCCTAGACCCTCAGTCCCCAAGACGATGCTCTCTCCACTGAGCCAACCCGGCCAGGGCGCTGTTTTTAATTTCCTAAGTTTCCGCTTTGGTGGTAATTTCCCCGAGAGTCACAGAAGGAAGCCGATGCGGCAAGAGTCCCCCTCATCTCACCGCCGGCTCAGCCACCGATCCCGCGAAGCCGTGGAGTGGGAGCCTTCTCTGTGGGGCCTGCCCCCCCCACACACTGTCCCCTGGTCCCAGGGCCCCTCGCCTGACGGTGGCAGCCCAGGTGTGCAGTGGGCACACAGATTGAGTGGCTGCTGGGTGGTCCTGCCTCTGCCCCGATGGGCGATGCTCAGGAGGAGGCTGGTGGCCCGGGCACAGCATCTGCGCCGCCACCGCCC